AGTAGGTGCAGGCAAGTTGCTTGCAGCATGGCTGGTCGGATATCCGGTCCCGGTGACTTGTAGGGACTGAATGATTTAATGGCCCAGATAATCTTGTCTGGTGCCATTATATTTCGTATGAGATCCTCGATTTCCTCTCCTGGATGATCCTCAGTGTCGTTGGTGGCGTTGGATTCGTCACCGGTGACATCTGAGCAACCCGGGAAGTGAGTACTCATGAGGAGCTCCAGGGATTCTTGGCTGCTCTCTGCGAAGGTACCGTCCTGGCTGCGGAGCAGGCCTGGTGTGGTGGGTGCCTTCGACAGTACGCGTCGAAGCCTTGAGGCCTCAGTGGTACCATCTATGGCATCGCAGAAGGCTGCCCATGATTCCCTTTTCGCCCTCCTACAGGTGTTTTTGTAGGTATTGAAGCTGCGGCGATACTCGTCCCAACTTTCCTGTGTGTTTGTCACTTTTGCTTTATTGAAGAGTTTCCTCGATTCCTTTCTGACTTCGCTCAACTCCCGTGTCCACCACGGGTTGTGATTGGACTTTGGGGGTCGGCTGATCGGGCAGGATTTGAGAAACGCCATCTGTAGAGCATTAGTGACGGTCTGCGTAGCTTTCTCTAGTGCTTCCGTTTGAATTATGTCCCCTTCCGGTGGGTTAGGCAGCACCTTCTGTACGGTTGCGGAGAAGCGGTTCCAGTCTGTCCGCCCGAACCCTTTCACTTACGATCCAGGGCTCTTGGATGAGGGCCACGTCCACCGCCTTCTCCTCCATAAACCGCAGCAGGTCCGCCGATGGTACACTTGAGTGATGCAGATTAATCTGCACCACCTTCATGCTATTCAGCGGACCTGGGGTGTCGCGGTTCTGCTACCGCCAGGGTGCCCATACCAAAGGATATGCGGCAGTCCGTTGCAAGGAGTTTGGCCAGGCTTTCTTGACCAATGCTGATCCAGAGTTCCTTGCCGTTCCCCTTGTCTCGCGCTATCGCTCTTGTGATGGTCCAGTCAGATGTCTCCAGGATCCGGTTCTGTGCCTTGATCAGAACGAGTATGTCCTCATCCGCCTTAATCGGGGGAGGAATCCATACCTTCATGATCGTTCTCCTGGGAATCTGATCCGTCGGGACCACGCGGAGTGCCGCTCCTGGCCAAAGTTCACCAAAACCTTGGACCGTGGTTTTGAGAAACTCAAGAGTTTCTGCATTGCCACAGGCCACTGCTTTGGCTCCCTTATACCACTTGATACCCTTGAACTCGCAGACAAACGGGTTATCTGCGCGCACAATGGCATCCTTCATGGCGGTCAGGATCTCCGATTCTGCCTTCAGCCAATTTACGTCCGATATCTTCCCCTCTGGGTGACTTTGGTCGATAATGGCTACCTGCAGCTCGGCTGGCGATCCTAGGCTGGCCAGAATGTCCTCTGGTTTCGCCTTCTTCGACTCGGAAGCTTTTGTGGAGTCGTCCGTTCTCTGTCGCTTGAACCTTGGCTCTCGACCAGTCGGTTCCACCGGTGCCTTCTGTACAGAGGGCGTTGGTGGTGCCTTGGCACTCGCCGTGTTCTGCGTCAGAGGTGTGGTCTTCCCCCTCTGCTTCCCGGACAACTTTTTCCCCTTTCTCCCTCGCGCGTTCGCAGACGATGACGTTGAGGGTTGGTCCACCTTAGTCTTCGTGCCAGCTGATGCTGACGCTGAAGTCGACGGTTTGGGGTCCTCAGTCACCGCCGCGTGTGCGCTTGGGGGGGCTTTGTCTCCGTTGGTAGGAGCGACTCCGTTAAGCCGCTCGTACCTCCGCACGTTTTGCTCGTGCTTCTTCTTGAGGCTCCTTTCCCTCGCCGTCAGCGTATCGGGGGGTCTTTGGCTAATACCACGGAGGTATTTTGCCGATGCCCTGTATCCCGACAGCCGTTTGCGTAGGGTCTCAGCCTCCGTCTTCTCATCCGTCACAGGTAGTGGACCCGAGTCGACCTGGATATTGGGAGCCGTGACTTGTGGCTCCGCCTTCTGCGGCTCCTCGTTGTATCCGAGTCGAGAGAAGGCGGTAGCCAACTCTGCCTCTGACACTGAGGGACCAGTGAAGACGAAGCTTCCGTCTGTGGTTCCCGGTTCCAGATCCTCTATCGTCCCTTTCTGCCTGCGGATCCTTCTGTTGCTTGTGGCATTACACGATTTGGCAGCCAAGCACTCCACTGCCATCTCGGGTTGCATATTTTTTGTGCAAATTGAGAAAACATTTGTAGTCATTTGTAGTTCTACCAGGTGGCATCGCTTCAAAATGTCATCGCTTCATTTATGTCAAAAACCGCTGTTCGGCTAAGTGCAGACCCATGGCAGCACAAATAGCATAACGATCATTATACAAAAAACTGTTAATTGTAATGAACTAAATTAGCATTAGTTTGAGAAGACAATAACAAAAACCACATACGTATCGTCTGAACGTGAAAACGAGTCCGATGCGCATCTGAGAATCCTGCGCTGCATGGTTTGTATTCTAATATGTTGCCTCCGTAGTTCTTCGAAGTCCAATAGTCCCGGTAAAAGCATTTTAATTAAGTTTACTGAAAAATTGAGATGTCTGTTTTTTTGAACAGCTGATTGCTGCCATGCACGGAGAGTTGCCAGACAACTGCTAGAGTAGTAGTACATTGTTTTGTTTGACTCGCACGATTTGGGATGTTTTCTTTTCTTCTTTATATCATAAAAAAAAAATATATAATCCAATTGTTTTGATATGATAAAATCAATAAAACTGCAAAATGAACCCCATTCGAATTGAATCTTGAAAGGTGTCAGCCCTAGCCTTAGATCGAATTTGGTTTGTGCAAATGATAAGAAAAAGGAAATCGCTCGGGATTCTGTGGCAAATGGCACTGCCATTTCACTAGTGATTTCTGTGTCACCCCTGATAGTCTCTAAAAAGCGCCAAGTAGCAGAACTTAATGTGGGACCAGTTATCTGTTACGAAAGAATTACTTGGCAGTTTCGGACTCCGAACCGAATTAGTACAACGACTAATTGATTTTGAGAAATCTGAAGACGTAGAGATGCCGCAAACAGCTGGAATCATAAGTCAAATTGAGGAGGAAACGCTGAGGTCACAAGCGGTGGCGATTTCACAAATGCAAAATGAAACGAGAAGGAATGTGTGAGTCGCTTCTATGGACGCTACTCTACTTTTATACCCGTACTCAGTCAGTATATTGATTTTTTAGGAATTCATCGAAATTAAACAACGATAACACAAGGGAACAAGGGTATTGTTGATTAAGAACTGAATGTTGTTTTTAAGGTAATCAGGGACGCCGAATCCAACCCAGTACTTGGTTTTTTCCTATCAGATCGAGTTTTCGCGATATACCGTTATATCCAAAATTAAGGCACTTCCCTTACATATAGTGGCATAACTTGAAAACGTTTAACCGTATTCAGCTAAAAAAAAAACAAAAACTGTTTCACAAAAAAAGGCTTAAAAAACAAAATCAATATTTTATTTTTGGGAAAACCTATTTATAGACGAGAAGGAACGTGTGAGTCGCTTCTGGGGACGTGACTCTACTTATTCCCGTACTCAGTCAGTACATACAATTTTGAGCTTATGATTTTTACAAATTTTAGAATTAAAACGAGAAGGAACGTGAGTCGCTTCTGGGGACGCGACTCTACTTATACCCGTACTCAGTCAGTATATACATTTTTGAGCATAAGATTTTTAAGAATTTTAGAATTAAAAAAAAAAATTTACATCTTACATTTTTTTGCTATATCTGCTATCTACATCTACAATGTATATTTCACATCTAACATGTAGATTAAAGATGTACCATTTAGATTCTACATCTCGTCCGCTAGGGGTTGCTCGCGCACTGAACGCGGCAGAGTGTGCGAGCGAGAAAGAGAATCAGTAGCGTCAGCAGCGCTGGAGAAGGAGAGGGAACCAACAGAAAATTAATTTCTTCATTCTGGCTATATTTATGATCCGATCTGATTCAGATTAGGCAATCTGGTAGATATGGGCATTTTCTACGATACTGCGTTTTTAGTTTTATCGTATCGTTAAAATTGTGCCTGCCACAGATTTTCGTCCTTTGTGGGGGCGGAAGGGGGCGGGGCGAAATTCTGAAATACACTTTTAGCAGTGTGATATCACATAAGTCTGGAAACCAAATTTGGTTTCTCTAGCTCTTATAGTCTCTAAAATCCAGGCGCTCATCGAGACGGACAGACGGACAGACGGACGGACGAACGGACGGACGGACGGACGGACAGACAGACATGGCTATATCGACTCGGCTATTGATGCTGATCAAGAATATATATACTTTATGGGGTCGGAAAATTTTCCTTCTCTGCGTTACACACATCCACTTTTACCACAAATCTAATATACCCCTTAACTCTTTTTTGAGTACGGGTATAAAAAAAATTTTACATTTTACATTTTTTTGCTACATCTGTTATCTAAATCTACAATGGTTATTCTACATCTAACATGTAGATTATGCATGTACCATTCAGATTCTACATCTTCGACGCTAGACTGCACTCGCGCACTTAACGAGGAAGAGTGTGCGAGCGAGAAAGAGAATGAGTAGTGGGTCTCTGGCTGAAGTAGGCGGGGAAAGCAACTGAAAATAAATTTCTTCAGTCTGGATATAATTATGATCCGATATGATTCAGATTCGGCAATCTGGTAGATATGTTTATTTTCTACGATACGGCGTTTTGCGTGTTATCGTATCTTGAAATTGTGGCTGCCACAGATTTTCGTCCATTGTGAGGTCGGAAATGGGCGGGGGCGAAATTTTGAAATACACATGAGTCTGGAAACAAAATTTGAATGCTCTAGCTCTTATAGTCTGATATCTAGGCGCTAATCAGGACGGACAGACGGACGGGCAGACGAACATGGCTATACTTGGCTGATTATATTATATCCCAATTATATTGAGTATCAAAGCTTACAAGTTACCCAGTGTTATTTTCATATCTAAAATAAAAATATTTTTAGGTCAAGAAGAAAACGAAACGCTTTTTCGGTTACAAGCAAAGCTGGATGAGTTACCAGACTTCTTAGCAAGCACTGAGGCCGATCTACAAGGTGCACTGCGTGATGGGACCAGATTATTATCGGAAATTCGGAAACTTGACTATACGTTGGACAAATATCACCAAAAAAAATTTCGAACTGAAGAAGCAATATTAAAGTTGGCGCAGGACCAACTTGTAGCGGATAAGTCTACTGCTTATAGATTGAAATTATTAAATAAGTCTCAAGAACGTCGTCGAAATATAGATTTATCATTATCAAAGGTACAAAGTCAATTGGCGTCTTCTATGCTCGACGTGGAAAAACTCAGAAGTGTAGTTTTAAAAACTAAAGCCCACAATGATGTAATTACACAGAGTCTCAACCAATCTGAGTTTAAATCTAGCAATCTTGAGACAGACCTAAAAAAAATGCACTGTAAAATTGAAGTAAAAATGAAATTGTTTGAAAAGGTCAGTAACAAAATAGAAATAATGCAAAAGTTATTTGGTGAAGCTTCCGGTAGTCCCACTGAACTGAAGGTAATATATAAAGGTGTACAAATTTCGTTCTTTAACAACTTACCAACTTCAGATAAAACAAATCGAAAAATCAATTCACACTGGTGAGCTGCAAATCCGAGAGCACCAACAATTTTGGATAATGCTGCAGAATCATTTTGTAAATTTATCGCAAAAAAGAAATGACCAGCTTAATGAAATTCAAGTCACTCGCAAACGTAAGTATAAATTGTACATAAATAATATCTTTGATATAAAAATCCCGTGTAACGACGCACAGTGGCACGTTTTCTCAAAACACGTTGCAAAATGAATAACTTTTAAGTCTAAAATTGAAAACATATATTTTTCATACTTAAAATTAAATTTAAAAATAAAAATTTAAGAAGGCGTGGGGCGGCAAAAGGCGAAGTTAAATTTTTACCCTAAAAACCATCATATAAAATATAAATAAAATTGAACAATAGGCAAATAGATTTTTTTACGACAAATTTTAATCTACACTATCAATTTGTAGAAAAAAATCTGTGGTAAGCGGCTATCTCCGCAACGCGTGAACCAAATTGCATGCTGTAAAACGATAGCCAGAGTATGTGGCACGGTTAGCACAAATAAATTTGTAGGGGGCGTGTCATAACGCCCACGGGCGTTATGACACTATTGAAAGTGTCTTAGCACGCACTCTCAAAGTGTCAAAGCGCCCGCGGTCGTTTAAAAACTTGTAAAGTGCATCAAGAATCAATGAGATTACAGATAAGAAAAATACCGTTCATTATTTTATCTCTCTAAGCATATTTCAAGTTTTCGGCACAATGACGAGCTTGGAAGAGTTAGTTTATCACTGATCTGTAAACAAGGTGCACGCGAAATGGAAGCTGTCGTTCCTTATGAATATAAAATTGTTGCTGGCTTTCGAAAAAATTCGAAGTTGTTGCTTCTTACAACCCAACAACAATTATTTAATATTAAGAGTGCATTAAAAACTAGTACGCGTTATCTTTGTTATGTAGAAGACTGTAGTGTCTACAAAACGTTGGAACAACGTTCCAAAAACTCGCTATTGCTCTGCCCGTATTGCAGACAAAGAGTTGATAGTCATATACAAATTTACCAATAAATTATAAATTCAATATTATTCAATCTCAACATTTATTTCCGAAAGATGCAGGCAAAATTTTTTTTCAAAAAAATCGTGCTCTTTTGTTTGGTCGAGGAGCGTTTTCCTCAATATCGTTGTTCAAGGATGGGGGTGTGTCAATCTCCAAGTGAGCTAATTAACTCGATGCGAAGAAATCTGCTGGAATCCAATAATAATCCGAAAAGTCGAGGGGGTTCAGTTGAGTGCTAGCCAATGACTATTTATTTGTTTTCTAAGTGCATGAGCACTGAGCATAAGCGGGCTTCTGTGTGGTGAATTCAATTACAAATTTAGTGCAAGAGCGTAACAAAGAGAGTAAAACATGAGCGTAAGGTACTACAAGGCGAGGGTCATTTAAGTGATTATTATATTATATTATGGCCTTAAGAGTTTGATCGAACATCCCGGCCCCGTTGAAAGGATTGCTTTCAAACTACCGGAAGAATTGCCAACTTGTGTACTGGCCTGCAGCAAGTTCCATTCGCGGTGCGAAGGTGCACCACGCGTACACGACCATCCCTTCCGAGCACTGTAGACTGCACTCGGCCTAGTTTCCAGCGTAGTGGGGGCAGGTTGTCCTCATGAATGATGACCATTGTGCCCTCAGTGAGATTCTTTGAGGGTGCTGTCCATTTCGTGCGAGATCGCAATTCGTTGACGTAATCCATCGACCATTGCTGCCAAAACCGTTGCTTGACGGCGGTGATCATGTCGTAGCGGTCCAAATTCGACAACTTGACGTTTTCGAGGGATCTCTCAGGCAACGAACGCAATGATTCGCCAACCAAGAGGTGACCAGCCGTAAGAGCGTTGAAGTCGTTCGGGTCTGACGAGAGTGGTGATATCGGGCGCGAGTTAAGGATGGCTTCTATCTCCACTACGACGGTGCTCAGTTCTTCAAACGTAAACCTTGTGTTTGCCAATGTTCGATTCAAGAGCCCTTTCGCACTCTTGACGGCCGCTTCCCAAAGGCCTCCGAAGTGAGGTGCCCTGGGAGGAATAAAGTGGAAATTAATAAAATCTGGCGCAAAATCTATAAATTTCATCTTGGGTCTCCTTTTTGAACATAAACCTTTTGAGTTCAAGCAGTTGATTTGATGCCCCGACAAAATTAGTGGCATTATCGCAGAAAATGTCTGCCGGAAATTTTCGACGACCTCCCATCCGCTTCAATGCATTCAAGAACGCCTTCGTTGATAAGTCCGAAACTACTTCAATGTGAACGGCTTTGGTGAGAAGGCAAACGAACACGGCCAAGTATGATTTTGTAGGCCCCTTTCCTCGAATCCGTAGATAGGTATTAATGGGTCCACAAAAATCCACTCCACAGCGTTCAAACGGTCGGGCAGGAGAGAGTCGAGATGGTGGTAATGAGCCCATAAGTTGGTGTAGCAGCTTTGGTCTGTAGCGAACACAGTGTACACAGGAGCGGACAATTGGACGTGCCAAGTCTCTGGCGTTAACGATCCAGAATTCCAAGCGAATGAGAGCGACTAAGGCCTTAGGGCCAGCGTGATAGTTGCGAATATGCAAGTGACGAATATAATTCCAAACAAGTTTAGACTGGCTGGGCAGCAGCAACGGATGTTTTTGACCGTCTGGTAGGTCTGAATATTCCAATCGTCCACCAACCTTGACGAGCTCGAATCCATTTACGAGTTCTAAAAAGGGAGTAAGAAACTTCAAACTACTCTTCAATGGTTTTTGCTTCTGAAGTAAACGAATATCTTCTGTGAAATGAGTTTGTTGAATGTTCCAAATAAGGCAGTGCGACGCAAAACGAAGCTCATTTGGTGTCGGTGAGGAAGTGGTAGGCGTCGATTGCTTCCGACATCTCTTTATGAACCTTACCATCCAGGCACTGAGACGAAGACTATGACTGTACGAGCTGACATTATCGACTATCTCGAGGATATAATTTCTCTCCTGTACCGCGGTGAACATGCTTTTCCGCTTCTCCGAGTTGACCACGTCCATGTCAATGACAAGCTGTTTACTGCTGGTGGGCCATTTCAACGAATCTTCCAGCAGAAATAAGGGACCAGAAAACCATGTCGATTTGATAAGCTCGCTAACGTTGCAGCCTCGCGACAGAAGATCAGCTGGATTTTGATATGTTGGGACGTAGCGCCACTTCCCACCAGACGTCATCTCCTGAATGTCAGAAACCCTATTCCCAACAAAGGTCGATAACGTGATTGAGTGTTGTTGCAGCCAATGCAATACGAGCTGTGAGTCGCTCCAAAAATATGACGTGATGTTGTGTTCAGAGAATATATCCTTGATTTTGTAGAACAGCTGAGACAGCAAATGTGCGCCGCACAGTTCAAGCTTCGGAAGAGACTGTTTCTTCACTGGTGCTACTCTCGACTTAGACGTGAACAATTTCACTGCGACCTGTCCTAGCGAATTCTCAGTGCGCACATAAATACAGCAGCCGTATGCCCGAATCGAGGCATCGCAAAATCCATGCAGTTGAATAGTCCTGGCGTCGGGCTGCAAACAAAACCGCTGTACCGATAGTGACGAGAGTGAATTCAATGACTCCAAACAGTTGCTCCATGCATTGCTTAGAGTCTGTGAAATAGACTCGTCCCAATCCAGTTTTAACAGCCACAACTCCTGAAGAATAATCTTAGCGACGATGACTAGCGGCGACAGCAGACCGATTGGATCGAATAGCGATGATGCAGTGGATAAGATTGTTCGTTTTGTGGTGGTGGCAAAGATTTCCTTGGGAGTGAAGGTAAAGCTAAATACATCAATTTGTTGATGCCACGTTACGCCGAGTGTGCTACTACTCTCATTCTCTGATGTGTTTAGTTTCTTAATAGAGTCATCTTCCATCACGCCTGGATGATTGGAATGCCATTTGCATAAGGGAAACTGACCATAAGCGAGGGTAGCTGTGATTTCTGTTTTGAGTTTGAGAAGAGTTTCTATTTCATCAGCCCCTCCCAGAAGATCATCAACATAAAACGCCTTTTTAACAGCCGCAGCTCCTAAGGGCCACATATCCTTACAATCATCCGCCAAGTGATGCAAACTACGAGTTGCGAGGTATGGGGCGGACGCGGTCCCATATGTTACGGTATTGAGTTGATAGGTTTGAAGCTCGGCATTTGGGGACGTTCGCCACAAAATATACTGGAATTTTCGATCCTTCTCCCCCACAAGCACCTGTCTATACATCTTAGTGACGTCAGCAGTGATGCCGAACCTATGCATGCGGAATCGTAGCAATTGCAGGTACAAATCATCCTGAATGGTCGGACCGACTAACAGAATATCGTTAAGTGACTTCTGCGATGTTGTACGGCAAGAAGCGTCAAATACGACTCTGAGCTTCGTCGAGGTGCTGCTTGGCTTGAGAACGAAATGGTGAGGAATGTAATAATGTGGTTCCTCTAAGTTTGGCTTCGGTACTATGGACATGTGACCAAGACTTTCATATTCCTGCATAAACGATAGATACTGCGAGCGAATCTCCGGTAAACGAGCAAGACGTCTCTCAATGGCATAAAATCGATTACGAGCTGTATCGACTGAATTTCCAAGACAGTTTGGGTCTTCTTGGAATGGCAAGCGCACGACAATTCGCCCACTGGCATCCTTCTGCGTTGTATCCCTATAGTGTTCCTCACAGCGACGATTAGTTGGGAGACTTTTAGCTCTTGAATCGCCGATTAAGTCAACCTTCCATAACTGCTGTAAGTTTTTGTCGATCGACTCTTCTACAGTCACCAAGCACAACGATGGCTGTATATTCTGCTGGCGTTGGTACCTCCCAGCAACAACCCAACCGAACAGAGTCTTCTGAAACGTGGGAAGATTGGGACCAATGCGAATCTGGCCAACAGCAAGAGCTCCATAGAAGGCTTCGGTTCCCAATAACAAATCAATGCGCTTAGACCTAAAGAACGATTCATCTGCCGGTAGAGTATTGGCAGGTAGGTTCCAATTTGATATATCGATCTCACTATATGGCTGGTAGGCAATGTGAGAAGTTATTCCGAACTGGAGAGTTAGCTGAGAGCCAGATGTGCGCGACTTAATAGAAGTCGTCGGACGAGCCTCAAG